ATCGGTCGATGCTGAACAATATGATTTTTCGGAAACGGCCGATCGTTCACGGTTGAACGATCCCCGTGGTGCCAGAAACCAACGCCGAGGTCGGAAGAGCACGAACCTACCGTAGGCGTATACCCTGACTCTTGGTGCGTTCGCGCTCTGGCAGCCAGCCTTCCATTTTCGATCGTATACCAGTCACCCGTAGGGGCGCGAAGATGATCGTGCTTCGCGCGTCACGGCATAAGGGCGACCAGATAGCGCCGAGACAAGCGCGATTGGACATGGTAGCCCAGCTGGCCAGACGCTCTTCTTCGCACGAGGGCCTGGATTGCTTACAGCAAGTACGAACCAATCGAGATCCTGAGCGAGAGGGGGGGGACGTGCCAGCCATCCTCAAGATACCTAGCGGGGACGCGTTAAACACGTCGAACGAAAGTGTTACTGTCCTTACCCGTGCTGGCGAAGAAGACGTGCGACAACGGACCAGAGAAATAAGAAAAATCTTGACATTTCGCGTGCCCCCCCACCCGCTGGTCCGCCGCTGGGCTGCTGCGTGAGGGCTCGGTTTGCCGCTGTAGGTGTGGCCACCCTCCGTCGCCTTAGGTTAATTCGTCGCTGCGTGCCCCGCTTTGACTGGACTCGCCGCCGGCGCGCTCGCCCGCGGCCGTTGACTAAAAAAGTATCCCCACCAGTTCCCTAATCAGTGGCAGTTGGACTGGGTGGACGGGCTGGTCCAGCTGGGCGGCCGACGAGCGGTGGAATCGTCCCCCTCACGCACGGACACCCCCTTACGCAGACGCTCGGTCGGCCCCCTGGCCCCCCTACGCAGACGCTCAATCCGACCCCTCGCAGGACCTGAACGACCCGCGCACAGGCCAACACATGCACAAAACTCCGCCAGAGCGGGTCCAGCTGTCCCCCGTCCGCGGCGAGGACCACGCCGAGACAATGAAACGCCTTCAGAAGGAACTCGGGGAGTATTTCAGCGGGATTTGGCACCAGTGGACGCACAATAACCCCACCAGGACCGGCTACGTTTGCACAGACCCCACCAGGCAGAAACCCGGGTCCTGTGAGCGTTTCTTCCGGGCATGGCACCACCACAGCTGCCACCCAAGGGAGATGGACGAGGTTCTGCAGCTCCACATCAACTGGACGGCTGTCCGCGACAAGTTCGCTGGCCGGACTAAGGGTCAAGGCGCCCCGGCTAAAGGGGCAATGGGACAACGGGGCAATGGGAGGACGGAGCCTCTCGTCGGGCAAGTCAAGGGGATTCTAGACGGGCCACGAGCTCCCACCAGCCCTGGGCGTAGCTCCAGGACCCCTCCCACACACACACACACACACACACACGCACACACACACACACACACACACACACACACACACACACACACACGCCCTCATGGAGCCCCATCCGCGACAGCGGGCGCTCCCCTTCCCCAGGGCACGTTCCGGCTGCTCCGACGGAGGCGCCTGCCTCACCGCTCCGCGGTCGCTGCCGACACCTTTCGGGCGCCAACCACCGTGCACCCAACGAAAAAGCCGACCCAGACACCTCACGGCTGGCCTTCCTCTCACCGGGGCCAGCCCCATGCGGGGCCCCACGGCGGGCCACCTTGGCTTCGCGCCAAATACCGCCTCGGGCTCGCCCAGCTGGGGTTGCTGGCTCGCCCCTGGCCCCCAGGAGACCCTTGCTCCTGGGCCCCCCTTTGCGGCCTCTCGCTTCCCGGTCGACTGCCGCCCCCCCCGGCCCGCCTTACCCCGGGGCTCATGTCCCCTTTTCCGCGGAGTGACCCGTACTGCTAGTTCCTTTGCGGCGACAAATCTGACCGCCCTGACTGAGCACACTGCACACTCCTCCCCTGCCCACTGGCCACATCCATGCTACTCTGCGACTGTCAGTAGCTTCTCACCGATTCCCTTCCCCACGCACTCACCGCCTGCGTGCCTGTCGGACGCTTCCCACCAACACCCGTCCCACCGCCTTCACCGGCTACGTCCATCGCGACTGTCAGTCGCCCACCACCGACTTCCTTTCCTGACATTGCGGCAGTCAGCCGCCGTCTTCCCCCCCCTGCTGCGGCCGCGCTCACGGCAGCGGCGGCCTCGTGCCGAATACCGCCCCACGAGCGCCCTGTGGGGGTGCCGGCCCTCCCCTGGCCCCCCTGCTCGCTCGCTCGGGCCTCTCGCGGCGTCGCGCCACCGGCGCCATGTCGCCCCCTCCCCCGTGCGTCCGCCCCAGCGCCGCCGTGGGACCCCTCAGCCCCCTCGTCGTCTCCCGCTTGAGACCACTAGGCCGGCTGGGGCTTGTCGCCGGGGCTGCGCGTGCCGCTCCGCGTGCCCCGCAGCCACCAGCGCCACTCGCCGCCTACGCCCCGGAGGCAGGCTCTGCAGAGTTGGGTCCTCGCTCTGCGCTGTCGCTCACGGTTTCCCCCGCCGCCTTTGCTCTGTGCATGATTTCGCTGGGAACCCCCCCCGACCCTGGTCGCCGGGCTGCACCTTCTTCCCTCCTCGCGCCGTTCTGTGCGCCTCGTGAGGTTCTCTGCATGCCCCTTCCTCGGGGTGCCCCTGGGCCCTCGGGCTTGCGAGTCGCCCGCGGTCGCCACGCAGGCCCGCCTTCCTTTGACGATCCGGAACTTTTCCGTTGAGCGCCTGCGCGCCCGCTCGCCCGCTCGTCGTTCTCGTGGGTGGCGCTCTCACGATCCCCCCCTTGGCTTTCCGGAGCATGGCCATTTTGGCGCTGCACGTGGACCTGGTGATCTGGGTCGCCCGCATCTGAGGCGCTGCGCAGCTCGCTCCTGCGCACTTCGTGGTTAATTTAGGCTTTTGCTAGCTGGCAATTTCCTGACGGCGCCTGGCACCCCTACGCGCTCGCCAACAAAAAAGTATCCCCACCAGTTTGTCTCTCCTCTTCCCCTCTCTTGCGCAATTTAGGTCGTAGCTCGCACGCTATGATTTTGACGGCGTGCGGCACCTCCGTATCGCTCGCGATCAAAAATACCCCACCAGCCCATCCAAAACCGACGCCCAGGCGAGTTGAGACGATCAGGGAAGTGTAGGAGCAAGAAGGGGACAGCCGTCATCGCTCGAGGGAGGATGAGGATGGATGAGGGGGAGGAAGAGGAGAAGGAGGATGAGGAGGGCGAGCAGAATGATTAGACGCTTCTTGGATGCCTCGCGGCGTATCGTGGGATATCTCTCGAGCGCGTGCATGCGCTTTGGATCGTCGTGGGATTGTTGTGGCGACTCCGAGAAATTATTGGAGCGTCTTGGATGCACCTTGGAAGCTGATTGGGGCATTTTGGGGGGGGCTCTTTGAATCATCTGTGGGATTTGTTTGAGGCCTCTTGGGGGTTCGTTGGGGTTTCTCGGGCGCCTCGTCCTATTCCCTCCTCCCACTTCCTTCCTCGACCTTGACGGCCAAAGTGCGAGTTTGCAAGGTCGCGTACCACAGGTCGCGTACCATCACCGACAGGTCGTGTACCACAGGTCGCGTACCATGAGCCAGAAGGTCGCGTACCACAGGTCGCGTGCCACAGGTCGCGACTTGCCAGGCGTCTGGGGGGCATCTTGGCGGGCCCAGGGCCGTCTTTGAGCGACAGGGGTGCCCCGGGGATCCTCTTGAGTCATCTTGGGGGTCTCTTGGGCACCTCTTGGAGCCGTCGGGGCGCCTTCTGGGGTTTTCTTGGGGCGCTTTGGGAGGTTGTAGGAGCGCTCTTGGAGCCATCTTGGAAGACATCGATCAAAAAAGAGGGCAGTTTGAATTAGCGCCCCCCCTCGAGAGTCTCAATAATCGCCTCTTGGGACGCTCTTAGAGCGCTCTTGGGCGTTATTGGGGCAGTTTTGGGGCTCTCGTGGGACTCTCTTGGGCCCCCCTTCTGGGCCACCTTGGAGCCATATTGGGGCCTCGGAAGGCTATCGAAAGCGAACGGGCGACGATACAAAATCACTGGTTGTCCTTAACTTGTTTGAAGGGTTTGGGCTTCTTGGAGGCTTCCTTAGAGGTTTCGGAGGCCTCTTGGAGCCGTCTTGACGTGCTTGGGACATCATGGAGCTTGCGGGGGGGTCAGATTGAGGCACCTTGCGCTAGCTGGAACCATGTTGGAAGTCATATTGGGCTCTCTGCGGCCCTCTTAGCCCCCTTGGAGCCGTCCTGGGCTATATTGGACGTTTCGACCGCTCGCGGAACCCCCCATCCAGGTCCAGGGGAGGGGGTATGGGGAGGGGTCAAGCTACCCACCCGCCCTCAAGACGTTTAGCTCACTCTCACCCGCCCTTCCAACACATAAGTAACACCCGAGCTTGGGCATGTTCAGCGGTCGAATTTGGATGGGCAGCTCCTGGGAACCAAAGCCGACCCCAGGTGCGCGACGCTTGGGCGAGGTGCGCCACGCGTGCCAGGGGCGCCACGCGCGGCAGGCACCCCTGGGGCCCGAGCGTGCCAGGCACGTTTGGTGCGCCAGATGCGTCACGTGCTCCGAGTGCGCCAGGTGTGCCGCACATTCCAACCACGCCAGGTGCGCCACGTTTGGGGCACGTGCAGGGTGCGTCAGGTGCGCCTGCCCACTTGACAGCACATTTCGGGAAACATGTCGGGCCCCGCCATCCTTGTCGAAAACCAATGCCCATCATTGTGTCTGGTGGGCCTGCGCGCAGCAGGCCACGCGACACCACCCCCGCCGTCTGTGTCAAAAACCATTTGACAGTGATCGCGGGATGGCCGCGCATGGTCCAGATTTAGCCGCAAGGTGCATGTTGTTTTGTTTTCTGTCAGGGATGGTAGCCCTGTGCACAGCAGGGAATATGCTGACACCCTTGCCGTCCCTGTCAAAAACAAAGCAACGTGCTCGCGGGCCTCACGGACATGACCCAAGACTTTGCCCCAAAGTCTACTTTGCATTGTTTTGGGGCAGGGATGGTGGGGGGGTCGCATCGGGTTGGCCGCGCATGCTCCAAATGTGGATGCAGAGTGCGGTTTGTATTGCTTTGTTGACAGGGATGGCGGGGGGGGCGGGCCCGCATAGAGTCAGCATTGTTCGGGGTTGGCCGCCAGCCGGGCGAGGGGGGGTGTATATTGATAAGGACAATGATAAACCCCTCCCCGAAGGGGAAGAAGGGGGTTGGAAGAGGAAGCGCCCTGGACCACCTACGCCCAGAGGGCTGGTGGGATTAGCAAGCACATGGGGATGCCGAAATATCAAACACACCGACAGATGCCATAGAAAAGCACGTGATTACCAGTTGGTTCATAGTTACTCGAATGATGTGATGTAGTCGATGTGCTGAGCTGTGTTCGAGCTCGTTTTGGACGCGCGCTCACGGAAGGCAAGTGAAATGTATACGTTGACATTCAAGTTCAACCACAGTGTTGTTGGAGGAAGCGATTGGGCACAATCTCGAATGCTTATACGCACTTCGAATCTGGAACGATCCAAGAGCCTTCGCTTCACACAGTGAGATTTACTTGCGGCGTTGACACGCCAATCGCCCGTTGCTGTTTGGTGTTAAGAAGAACTTGCGCACGCGGCCGACACTTCAAGTTCACAGGATTGTGTCTGTCCTCACGCCATTGTTGCTGCGCTGAGCCCTCGAAGCGGAGCCCTACTGGCTCGGCGCAATGTTGGGTCGCGGGTTGTTCTCTGTCTGGAAAGATTAGTTATGCTGTCTGGGCCCCCCGAAAAATGTCTCATACGTGTTAGCAGAATGGCACGTCTCTTAATAACCATCCAAGTACTTACCCTTCGGGTGATAAGGAGGTCCGGGGGGGGGAGGAACCAACGTCTCACTCGATCGGTCTCACTATCGATCTCACTATCGATCTCACTATCGGTCTCGCTCGATCAATCTCACTCGATCGATCTCACAATCGATCTCACTCGATCTAGTTCATTCGATCGATCTCAGAATCGATCTGACAATCGATCTCACATACGGTCGAACTATCGATATCACAATCGGTATCACAATCAACGTCATCATCATCAACAACACCATCATCATCAACGCCATCAACATCATCATCATCATCATCATCATCAGCATCATCGGGACACCATCATCATCATCAACATCAGCATCATCGCCATCAGTGGGCCACCATCATCAAAATCATCATCCTCATCTTATCATCATCCTCATCATTAACATCAGCATCATCTGGACACCAGCATCGTCATCATCATTATCACCATCATCCTCGGGACACCATCATCATCATCATCATCATCATCACCATCATCATCATCATCATCATCATCATCAACCTCATCATCATGATCATCATCATCATCATCATCATCATCATCATCATCATCATCGGGACGCCATCGTCATCATCATCTTCATCATCAAATCATATGATCATCATCAACATCATCAGGATCATCAACATCATCATCAGCATCATCATCATCGGGGCACCATCATCATCATCAGCAACATCATCATCAACAGCATCCTCATCATCGGGGCACCATCATCACAACCACCATCACCATCATCAGCATCCAACATCGTCAACATCATCATCATCATCATCATCATCATCATCATCATCATCATCATCGTCGGGACACCATCGTCACCACCATCATCATCATCGTCAACCAACATCATCAACATCATCAGCAGCAGCATCATCATCATCACCATCATCAGGACACCGACGAGACACCGGCGGGACACCGGCGGGACACCGCGCGCCACCGGCCCCCGAGCGGGACACCGGCGGGCCAACGCGGGGCACCGGTTGCCGGAACGGAGACTTTTGGTCGGGCCGTGCCTCAGCTACAGGAGACTTATTTCTCACCCGCCAAGGCAGCTTCGCCTCGCCCGCACGCACGGCACGGAAAGAACACGAAACCGAAACCGATTTCCCGGTAGGGGGCTCTCCGTTCCACTTCGATCTCACCCCCTCACCTCCGATTATTTGGCACGCGTTGGGGATGCTACGACTATCCAGGAAATCGTGTCACCGTTTTTTGTTCCAGCTATTCCTCCACATTGATGCCCATTGTTGGTAAGCCTATACGCACAAAGAAGGGATGCTTGGGCTTGGGACATGCAAGAAGGCACCACCCTCTTTGAATGTCTTCTGTGGGGACGCAGATCTCGAGAGGGTGGGGGGGGCGAGTGAATAAATGGAGACTTGCCGTCTGAGGCCATGGCTGCGCTGGAGCCTTTGGGCCAGAGCCAGCCCGCGAGTGTGGCGCTGGAGCCCACCGGCCAGGCTTTGCAGGCACTGGAACCCCAGAGCCAGATAGAGCATGGCAGAGCCCTGTTGGAGCTGCTGGGCCACAGTCGGCCTGCGTGTTCCAGGACGCCCAGCGCCGCCCTTCGCCGTGGCTGCCGCCGCTGCCGTGTGGCCGCCAGCCTGGCCTGCAGAGAGGTCACCCCCCACATGCAAACGAAGGTTCCTCCGTGGCGCGTGTCGTGTGTGTCCGTCTGGATATCGTGCGGGCCACAGCTAGCCAGTCTGGGATCCAGTGCCGCTGCTCCGAGGCCATCGTC